ACCCCCTGCCTGGCACCCCCACCCCTGCCTGCCTGGCACCCCACCACCACCTGCCCCTGCATAGCACCCTTCCTGCCTGTTACCACCCCCACCACCTGTGCCCTGCCTGCCTGGCACCTGTCCTGCCATCTGCACCCTGCCTGCCAGCCTGGAGCCACCTGTGCCCTACCAGCCTTGCACCCCACCACCTGTCCCCTGCCAGCTTGCCCCTGGATAGTACCCTGCCTGCTCACCAGCCTGACACCCCTCTCCCCTACCTGCGCCCTGCCTACCAGCCTGGCATGCCTCTCCCTGCCTGCCTGGTCGCCCCTGGGCAGCGTCCTGCCCGCCAGCCTGGCACCCCTGCCACCTGCACTCTGCCTGCCCTCTTCCTGCCCCTTGCCAGCCTGCCCACCCGCCTCTGGACAGTGCCCTGCCTTCCTGCCCCTTGCCACCCTGGCACCCCACCACCACCTGCGTCCTCTGGCAGCGCCCTCCAGCAGCGCCCTGCCCCCTGCCTATCTGCTCTCTGCGTGCCTGCCCTCTGCCTGTCTGTCCCTGGACAGCACCCTGCCAGCCTGCGCCCTCCGGCAGCACCCTCCCACTCTGCTCCCCCGACCCTCTTCTGGGAAGGGCCAGCGCCCAGCCTGCCCCTGACAGCACTGCAGCTGCCATCTGCACCCTGCTGCTGCTGCCCCTCCCCTGGCCACTGTTACTCCTCTTGCAGGAGCTCTGAATCCGGGCCACCCCCTTTCCCCTGCGGCAAGCGTCTCTCCCTTTCCCAGTAACCCCCCTTCTCTGCCTGGCCCCAGGAGGGATAAGCTGCGTGCTGCTGAACTACCGCATTGAAGACAGCTGCAGCTTGGAGAGCAATGGCAGCAGCGCCACCAGCACAAGGGAGGCTGAGCGGAGTGATCCCCCGACGCCTCAGCCAGCAGCCGAGATCGGGAACGCAGAGGGGACCCTTCTGGACTTGGCCATGAAGCGCCCAGTGGTCAGATCGAAAATCAAGGTACAGCACCAGCCTCCCATAATCTGCCCACCTGGCGCACAACCAGCCCGGTGACCGTCAACCGGGGAACACAGGCCCAGACCACCCAAGGTATTTAGGCACCTGACTCCTATTGGAGTTAGACGCCTACATACCTTGGAGGATCTGGGCCACACCACCTGCCACACTGGGGCCTACTCACAGGCATAGTTTGACTTCTATATTTGGGGGGGAAACTTGAGTCAGGCCAATGGGGCTGCGAGTGGGGGAGCAATGCAGTTTGGAGGGGGCAAAGACCCTCTGCCCCCTCCCAAAACTATACCCAAGGGCTTTCTTTCAGTTAAATAAATACAAAGCCATGGAAATACCCGCCCTCAAAAACCGTGGATGAGATTCGCAAGGCAGACGAGGAGATTTAGTCACTCACCGTGTGTTGAAATTCATGCATTGTCTGTTAACTAACTACTTGGAAAAATTCACTCTCCGTGTGTGTTTCTTGCGTGTACACACACGCACATATTTGGAGCCTGACTGAGTGGAGTCAAAAACCAGCTGATTGTAATGGAGATTTCAGCAGAAATGGCAAGACAGAAAAAGGGCAGTTGACTGCGTGTTTTTCCCCGGTGTAAAAGAAAAAGTAGCCCGATCAGAGCAAATGAGTTCAGCCTCACTACGGGAGCTTCATTTAAAATTTTGCAACTGGCTTATTATCTTTTCCACGAGCCAGTTTCTGCTAGCATTGCTTTGCTCCTGATGAGGAGGAGGAGGATGAGGCAAAATAGCCAGCGCTTCAGGAAAACCTAATTCTCTGCCTCTTCATTGTTATTTATTATTTGTATTATGGTTAAATACAAAATAGCTATCCTGCCATGATCTCTGTGTAGGTAAAGCCTCGTGTTTGTACTGAGCTGATTGCGGGATCTAGGCCACATATGGCCAGGAAGAAAAGAATCTGCTGGGAATTTGGGGTTATTTTTGGTTCAAACTGTGGAATTCCTACGAGGATTTATTTTGCTCACTAGTTTACTGATGACCCTTATATTTTAATCCCCGATATTGTTAACGCCACAGAGAAATATGTATCATCTTATTAACCGAGTTTCTGCAGAACACCCCCAAGCTTTCTAGAAACACCACTAAATGCACTGCAGGTTCTCAGGAGTCTGCTAAAGTCCCTTTTTGCTCTCCCTGCTAAACTCACCTTTCACCCTGTGTTTTAGGGGACGTCTACATTGTGATAAGAGACCCGGGGCACAGAGGGGCTGGCATGAGTCAGCTGACTTGGGCTTCTGGGGCTAGACCATTCCAATATAGACATTCCAGCTCGGGCTGGAGCCTGGGCTCTGGGATGCTCACATGGGGTCTTAGGTTCCAGCCCCATCCTGAATGTCTACACTGCAGTTTTATAACCCTGCCTCCCAAGCCCCAGGATCCCGAGTCAGCTGACCCAGGCCAGCTGCTGGTCTTTTATTGCAATGGAGATATATCCTTAATGGACAGCGTGGCTATCAAATTAATGTTTAACTATTAGCATAATCAAAACATTGAGCTTCCCCCATAAAGGACGTTCTTCCAAATAGCTGAACCACCAGCATCGGGTCCAGCCACTTCAGATAATCACATTAGCTCGACCTTTCTTGTATTAGAATGAAGAATGAAAACATTAACTCATAATAACACTTTCAAGTTAATTAACAGGCAAGTGAGATAAACTGGGGACGACTCTATTGTTTCAGTCTCTGCAGAGTCAACACATGGCATGCTGGCTTACTTTGTAAGGATTATCTTCACAACCAAAACCTCCAGAAATTTTTTGGTAAACAAATCTTCTGTTCCATCAGACACAGCAAAAGGAAGTCCTTAGAGATACACTGAAATCTTGTTTACACGAGAAAGCTGCATTGATTTCACTAAAGGTGTGATTCTAAACTGATTTAAGCCTTGTCTATACGGGGAAGTTTTTTCGGTGTAAACTAAGGTGTTAATTCAAATACCCTCATAATCCTCTGTGTAGATGCTCTTATTCCAGTATAAGGGTGGCTTTTTTGTGTGTTTGTTTTAGTATGTTGCTTGGAAGGGATTTAAGCTAAACTGAAAATAACCCGTAGCAGAGAGGCTACGTGTGTCTATCTAGGGCAGTGGCTCTCAACCTTTCCAGGCTACTGTACCCCTTTCAGCAATCTGATTTGTCTTGCGTACCCCTAGGTTTCATCTCACTTCATCAGACATAAAAATATAGAAGCACACTATTACTGAAAAATTGCTTTCTTTCTCATTTTTACCATATAATTGTAAAATAGATCAATTGGAATGTTTAATATTGTACTTACATTTCAGTGTATAGTATATAGAATGAAATTGTAGTTTGTACTGACTTTGCTAGTGCTTTTTATGCAGCCTGTTGTAAAACTAGGCAAATATCTAGATGAGTTGGTTACCCCCTGGAAGACCTCTGCGTACCCCCCAGAGGTACACGTACCCCTGGTTGAAAACCACTGATCTAGGGGGTTCTACCTCTCTAACTGGTAAAACTTTCCTGTGACGATGAGGCCTTAGTTAGACAGGCATAACTCTCTCACGGAGACAAGGACCAAGGTCCTGATCCAGCAAAATCCCTAAGTATGAGGAGTCCCATTGAAGCCAATGGGTTACTCATAGGCTTACAGTAAAGCATGTGCTGAAGTGCTTGGCTGGATTAGGGCATAAATCTTTGGAATGTTTTCATTTTTTCTCATGACCGCATGTTTCTATTATCCCGGTTTATGACTCATGGGACAGGTTCCCTTTCGTCCTGTGGAAAAACCCGCAGGACTCTGAGATTGCTCCTTGTCCGTTGAATTGGGCTACGGACTTTGCCCCATAAGCTGCGGAACTCCTCAGATCTGTGTGGAGTCTGTGGTCCGTGCCTTAGGTTGTATAACGCCTGGACAATTCCTTGTGATGGTGGAGGGAGTCATCCTCATTTCTCAATGTCCAACCCAACGTCGTGCTAGCTGTTTCTCTTCCAACACAAACAACCCACATTAACATGGCAGTAAGGAAGCTGGTATCCATGCCTCTCTAACTGACATACTACAAATCCCAAATAAGATTGTTTCACATGCTTTAGAAATCCTGTTCTCTTCCATTCAGTCAGTCCTCTCTCATATAAGTTTGAACAAGAGTTCGAAATTCACCCTTAACTCTGACCCCCCCACACATGAGCTTACCTTTTCAGCTCATTTTATTAAATAAATCCAGAGGCTCACAAAATGTTTGAGGCCGTTTCTGCAGAACTCTCCACTCCGAGCAATTAAATTCTTCTCTATGTCAAATCCTGAGCTGGTGTAAATTGGTGTCGCTCCACTGACTTAAATGGAGAGAAGTCGATTGACACCCGCTGAAGATCTTGCCCAAATCCATATGGAATAATCTATACCCAAATCTATGTTATTAAGATGCAATTCCACTAACTGTAATAACCCACAGACTCAAATCACTACAGCTCCTTTAGGGGGACTTTAGCGTTCTTAGCATTCTTTTTAAAAATAGTGCTAAAAAACAAACCCTCAGGCACAATATGTGTTAGTAAATATGGTCTAAAGGGCAGAATTAGGTGCACCATCAATGGAAGCTGGGCACCTGGCCGTCCTTTGTGCCTTTGAAAATCAGGCCCTGGATACAGTTGGGCAGGTAATTCAGGGTATTGTGAAATGGCACTCTATTTTCAGATCCAGGTTGTGACACTGATTATGGGGGCACGGGGAGGGGACATGTAATGCAGGGACTTTATGGCATGTTTCTGTTGGATGCGATGGATCTCTGGCCCTAATGTTTTAGGAGACGAAAGCCCTGATAATGCAGGGAGGTCGGTGTGAGGAATGTGGGTGCAAGGGGTCAGCTTCACGCAGCTCACTGCAAGTGGAAGCTAAGGCCTCAGACAATAAAAGCCGATTTCTCGTTGGTGATACTATTCAGTTTCTCCTGTGTTGTTACCGTGAGGATTTTTTCACTGTGCAGAGAGAGAATCCCCCTGTTCTTTGCTCTTGCCTGTCGACCCAGAATCGGATCGAACCATGTTTTATTTCCATCCGTTAGTTCACGACTGGTACCTGCGACGATGCGGCGCTGCACAATTGTGAGCTGTGCGGCAAAGGCTTTCGCTTGCAGAGGATGCTCAACCGTCACGTGAAGTGTCACAGCCAAGTAAAGAGACACCTGTGCACCTTCTGTGGCAAAGGTTTCAATGACACCTTTGATCTGAAGAGACACGTAAGGACCCATACAGGTGAGAGCAGCTGGGAGAAGGTTCTGCAGCCCGACCGCGTGGTGTTCCTTTTTTAAAACTAAAGTGCTCTGCCCCCTACAGGCAACAGAAAGCAGTGTTTTGGTGAATAGTCAAAGGGTGAACCACAGAATAGAATTTTATATTCAGTACAACCTCAGATAACTACGGTTTGTTTTGTTTACATCCTACTCTGCCTCCCCTCCAGACTGGCTGGTTTGAGGGAAGCCAGACAGCAAATCTGACTTCTCCTAGCCCTGAGCACAGATGCCCCACAGAGCCAGCTGTGGCAGAATCACACTGCTTTGGGCTTCACAGAAATTGCATCCATTAAATGAAGGGCTTGTGCGGCTCTGTGTGGAGACATTTAAGGTACAAAAGGCTGTGTGGACATTGTTGTTCCAGGTTAGCTTCACTCAGTTAGGAACAGGATTACGCTAAACCAAAATAAGCCGCTGTCAAACTGGAATAAGAGTGTTTACACAAGGGTTTGCACCAATTTAAGTAAACCGGTGTGAGTATGAATGCAGAGGGAGCCTAAATTGGTATAACCCCTTATGTGGACACTCTTGTAAGAGTGGCTGATAACTGATTTAAGCCAAATAAATATGGATTGATTGACTTTTAAAAGTGTCCACTAGAAAGTTGCCCTGGTTTCACTAAATCAATCTAGTTACACCAGTGCAATTTCTGAGGGACCCCTAGACTCCAACCTCACCACTGCAGACATTCTTGGGCAAGCTGGCTATCCTATAAAATAGGGGTCACTAAACCAGCAGGTGTTTAGCCTGTGCTGCAGGATTTGGACACCCAGTGACTGCTGGACAAGCTCCCTGATTTCTCTCAGTTTCAGTACTAGACAGGACCTTAGGGATGATACGGTGCAACCTTGATTAACCTTTTTGTTTATGGTATCCCCAAGCACAGTCATTAGCCAGGTACCCCACTGCACATCCAGGTGCAATAACTGTGTAGGCAAACCCGGCATTTATGGCTTAGCAGTCGCTCCCACACAGCCACTGACATCTAACGTACTGAGAAAACGTTGGCCAAGATATGCGACTTTCTATTTGAAAAGCATTGTGGGATCTTCAATTTGTGCATGGAAAGCTGTTGGAGACAAACAGCAGGGAACAGCAGAGACACACCGTCAAGTTCAATTTGGCCCAGAGTTTAGATTTTGTAAAAACAAACTTTTATTAAGGACAAAAAAAAAAAAAGCTAAGACCAGCAGACACATTTCCATATATAGTATAGTGTGACGTTTCCGTGAAATGATTGTTCCTTGCAGTGTTTGCAACCAAAACTTTGCAGCTCTCTGATAGTGCATGAGAATATGAAAGTGAAACTGATTAGTCATCTTCCATTGCCTGAGCTGAATTCAATGTAAAAAGTAACCCGCATAAATTCTTTCCGTTTAATCGAAGGTATTATTTGTAAAAGAGGTACATTTTGTTTGTTCTAGATACGATTTGAAACGTGACTGTTTTCCCTGAATTCCAACTAGATTTGATGGGAATTGTGAAGAATTCCCACCCCGGAGCACTGTAGCTATGCTGGTCTCACCCCCACTGTAAAAGTGGCTAGGTTGACGAAAGAATCTGTTGACCTAGCTACCGTCGCTTGAGGAGATGGATTATCTACTGCAGTGGAAAAACCCCTTGTGTCACTGTAGGAAGAATAGGAGCATAAATGTGTTAGTCTCTAAGGCGCCACAAGGACTCCTGTTCTTTTTGTGGATACAGACTAACACGGCTGCTACTCTGAAACCTGTAGGAAGAATCTACGCTATGGCGCTACAGTGGCATAGCTGTGGTACCATAGCTGTACTGGTAGAGCACCTGTAGTGTAGACGTGACCTAACTACTAGTGTGATTGGGACAAACATTTCAACACTACTAGAAAAATATGTGATTGAGAATCTCCCTCCTCCAGCCTCAAATTAGCTGGATGTTTCTGCTAAAATGATCCAGTAGTTGCGTCATCAACAATGGAGGTGTACATTAGCACAATTTGATTACAAAGTTACCATCCGTTTATATGAATGGGGGAATTTTACTCCTCTTTTTCTTTTGGTTCTGTCTGCCTGCAGCAGCAAAGCCCCGAGCTTACAAACTGTTTTGCACAGGTGTATAAATTAGGGCTGTCAAGCGATTAAAAATATTAATCGCGATTAATCGCGCTATTAAACAATAATAGAATACCATTTATTTACATATTTTTGGATGTTTTCTACATTTTCAAATATACTGATTTCAATGACAACACAGAATACAAAATGTACAGTGCTCACTTAATATTTATTTTTGATTACAAGTATTTGCACTGTAAAAAAACAAAAGAAATCGTATTTTTCAATTCACCTAATACAAGTACTGTAGTGCAATCTCTTTATCATGAAAGTTGAACTTACAAATGTAGAATTATGTACAAAAAAACTTGCATCCAAAAAATAAAACAAGGTAAAATTTTGGAGCCTGCAAGTCCATTCAGTCTTACTTCTTGTTCAGCCAATGGCTCAGACAAACAAGTTTGTTTACATTTGCAGGAGATAATGCTACCCGCTTCTTGTTTACAATGTCACCTGAAAGTGAGAACAGGTGTTCTCATGGCACTGTTGTAGCCGCGTCGCAAGATATTTACGTGCCAGATGCGCTAAAAATTCACATGTCCCTTCATGCTTCAACCACCATTCCAGACTATACGCATCCATGCTGATGAAGCAGTGTGGACTGACACATGTTCATTTTCATTATCTGAGTCAGATGCCACCAGCAGAAGGTTGATTTTCTTTTTTGGTGGTTCGGGTTCTGTAGTTTCTGCATTGGAGTGCTGCTCTTTTAAGACTTCTGAAAGCATGCTCCACACCTCATCCCTCTCAGATTTTAGAAGGCACTTCAGATTCTTAAATCTTGGGTTGATTGCTGTAGCTATCTTTAGAAATCTCACATTGGTACCGTCTTTGCATTTTGTGAAATCTGCAATGAAAGTGTTCTTAAAATGAACAACATGTGCTGGGTCATCATCCGAGACTGCTATAACAGGAAATATAAGGCAGAATGCGGGTAAAACAGAGCAGGGGACATACAATTCTTCCCCAAGGCATTCAGTCAGAAATTTAATTAATGCTTATTTTTCTAATGAGCATCATCAGCATGGAAGCATGTCCTCTGGAATGGTGGCCGAAGCATGAAGGGGCAAACGAATGTTCAGCATATCTGGCATGTAAATACCTTGCAATGCCGGCTACAAAAGTGCCATGCGAATGCCTATTCTCACTTTCTGGTGACATTGTAAATAAGAAGTGGGCAGCATCATCTCCTGTAAATGTAAACAAACTTGTTTCTCTTAGTGATTGGCTGTACAAGAAAAGTAGGACTGAGTGGACTTGTAGGCGCTGAAGTTTTACATTGTTTTGTTTTTGAGTGCAGTCACATAACAAAAAAAATCTACATTTGTAAATTTCACTTTCACGACAAAGAGGTTGCACTATAGTACTTGTATGAGGTGAATTGAAAAATACTATTTCTTTTGTTTATCATTTTTACAGTGCAAATATTTATGAGCAAAAATAATATACACTTTGATTTCAATTACAAAACAGAATAAAATATATATGCAAATATAGACAGACATCCAAAATATTTAATAAATTTCAATTGGTATTCTATTATTTAACAGTGCAATTAAAACTACAATTAATCGCAATTAATTTTTTTAATCATGATTAATTTTTTTGAGTTAATCGCGTGAGTTAACTGCCATTAGTCGACAGCCCTAGTATAAATATTAGAAGGATCACAATGTCTAAACACAAAATTGCACCAGTTTATCTAAGGTTGGAAATGGACCAAAATAGCTCAAAACTCGTGAGCCAAGGTCCCGAAAATCATGAGATTGGCTTAAAAATCAAGGTTTTTTTTTTTTTTTTTTTTTAAAGTTAGTGTTTTTTATTTGCCCTCTGGGTTTTGAGTCTTTGGAGGAAAACATTTTCAGCTTTTTCTCAGCATCCACAAGAACTGGAAACATAGGGTGAAACCCTGGCCCCATCAAAGTCAGTATCTTGAGAGTTGGCAACACCGTATAATTTAGGACACTGATTCAAGAAAACCTCCCTGTTCAGCTTAAACATGTGCCTAAGTCTCATTGAAACGCTTTTGTACTTTCCTGAAACAGGGTGTTAGGTGCCTAATATGAATTTAAGGCGCCTCGCTTGAGGCACCCACTTCAGAAAATCTTATCCTAAGAAAGTGTAAATATTTATTTAGATTGTACGCGGTTTGGGGCAGGGACTCTACTAATCAGTGTTTGTAGCCTAGCGCAATGGGGCGTTTTTCTTGGTTGGTCCTAAGTGTTATTGCAATAAATGTGATTCATCATAATTAATAATAAACAATGTCGTCTGGCCTTATAGGAATTCGTCCTTACAAATGTGAGATCTGCAACAAGGCGTTTACCCAGCGATGTTCTCTGGAATCCCACCTTAAAAAGATCCACGGGGTTCAGCAGCAATATGCGTACAAACAGCGGCGCGATAAACTTTACGTCTGCGAAGATTGCGGCTACACGGGCCCAACGCAAGAGGACTTGTATCTGCATGTCAATAACGCTCACCCCGGGAGTGCTTTCCTCAAGAAAACCTCTAAAAAGCTGGCAGCAGTCTTACAGAATAAACTGACATCTGTCCTGCAGAGGAACCCGGAAGATGATGAGGAAGACGAGTAACGCAGTGGATTACAGCGGTCACATGCAATGAAGTTTACATGTCGGGTATTTCTTCAAACAGCTTTGAAAGGTATCCGTGTAATAGCAGGCATCTTGTCCTTTTGGTGGTGACAGGCTGTGGATGTTACAGCCTCAACGTGAAAGAAATGTTCTCAGCTTAATGCAAATACAAGGCTTTTTTAATCGTGAGAATAAAAGGGAAAATTTTGGAGCCAGCATCGCCTGTGGATAGAGCCCTGCACTGGTACTCGGGAGACTCCACGTCAGTTCCCAGCTCTGCCACTGGCCTGCTGTGTAACCTTGGGCAAGTCACTTAACAATTCCATGATTCCGTTTTCCCAACTGTGTAATGGAGATAATGACACTGATCAGCTTTGTAAGGTGCTTTGAAATCTTTGCGTGAAAAGTGCTAGATAAGAGCTAGGTATCCTTAATATTATTCCCCGATGCGAATCTACAGTAAAATGAAGTTAAGGATGAGAGTATGTATCATAAGGTAAGAAATGCACAGTAATACACTCAAACAACCTTAACTCTGCCCTGTAGTGAAACCATGCAGAAATAGGGTGACCAGACATCCCTATAAAATCGGGACCGTCCCGATTTTTAGGTGTTTGTCCCGTGTCCCGACCGATCTTTGGTCGGGACGCAATTTGTCCCAATATTTTGCTCCGCCAGCAGCACTCGGCTTTTTTTTTTTTTTTCTTCCGGCGGGCCCCCGACCCCCCCCCCCCCCGTGTCCCGATATTTTCTTCCTCTCATCTGGTCACCCTATGCAGAAACCATGTGATTATGATTAAGGTTGTTAGGATTTGTAATCCCAGGTTAGAAAAAAATAAATTTTAAAGATGTTAGATTTTTTTTCATATCATTCTCTCCCCCCTCCCCCCCCGCCCCCCCGGCATGATTCCAGGGCAGAGTTAAGTTTTTTGGGTGCCTTGACTGTGCATTTCTTACCTTAACATGTTTGGATTTCTTTTGAGTGTAACCTTAACTCTGAATTGCCTGGTTTTTTAATGCTTAGTTCTGAGCTCACTATCACATCCCTGTAGCGGTTGTTTAATTACTGAGGCATCTTTTCAACCTTAACTCCATCTTTTTGTCTGGGAATTTCCCTAGTTCTAAAAAATTTTCATAGATGAACACTAAATAAGAAACCCAAAGGGAATGCTACCAGATATTTCGAAGGACTTGAAGATACACAGCACCAACCTTCAATCATTTTAAAAAAAATTAAACTTCCAAGGGTGGATTCGCTGGGATACCAAAGCAATGCGAAGCAGCCAGAGGGCACTAGCCAGTTCACCTAGTTTTTGAACTACATTGCATCGCCAGAGCGGCACAAATCAACCAAAGCTTACTGGTGAATCTGGCCCTTAGTTTGCCACTGACCTATTGGTTTAGAAGGCTGCGTTAGTGAGACCACCACTCTGCTGTGTGGCGGGAGCAGGGAGAGAAAGACCCCAGGCCCGGAGTCCCAATGTCTCTGCTTCCTCTTTGCTCCCTCTCTGGTTCCTTTGGCGGTGCTGGCCCAGTGTTCAATGGAACCAAGCAGCAGTGCCATTGGGCAGCCTTACAAACACTGATGCCCAAACAAGTGTGCAGCCGCCGAATGGAACCTTTGAAGAGCAATACCAGTTGGGCCAAGCCATCCATCAGTGAGAACTCCTGGCACATGTGTCCAGTCTGCCTTGGTACCACTGAGTCATTACAGCCAATTGTACGCTTGCTTGCAAATTAGCTGGCCAGGAAGGGTGGCGATTGGTGCTCTACTCTGCTAAGATCACTCAGGACGGAGAAAAGACTCATGCCAACACTAATTTCTTAAAGGACCCAGTTTGACTGCATAAACCAATGAATGAATTTACTTGTAAATTATCCAAAAACTCATTCTGTACTCAGGGAGTGAGTGCTGGACGTTTGGGGAGGACACACTCTTATTTTGTATATAAAACAGAGGTTGCATCCCTGCTTTAATGCAAAATGGAACTCAGCCTGAAGTACGGGACTGAACTCATCAGCACCTCCATGGTTAATATATGAAAATGATGTCAGATTCTGGTTGTGTCTGTAAACTAAATTTTCTTTGGTTGCCTCAGTCCTTGTACAGACATCTGCGAGGGCTTTGGGAGGGAGGGGGAAAGCTTTTGGGTGTTCTTAAGCATTTCTTAATGAAGCAACTATTTTATGCAACAAGACTGAGGGTGCTTGGGGCCTTGAAAGAATCTTAATAAAGTGAAGCTTTGATGTAACGAATAAGAAACTTACTGTCCTATGTAACAGGAAAGGTTGCGAGGGATATTTTCATAAACAGAATTCCAAGTACAAAGTGTCGAGATGAATGACAGAATATTCACTCAGTGACATTTTGGCTGTAGATTATATTTTGACTCTTAGTTATTCCCTGGTCATGACTGTCTTATGCTTCAGAGATGAAAGCCGGCTTGAGTTCTTAGCTAGGGCAAGGACTGGCACGAAACAGCATCCAAAGTAAAGATTATTCTTTTCTAGTAAGGTTTGCCTCTCTGCGAGCGCACTGATATGTGAGATCGGATAGTGTAAGATCGTAAAGTTTAGGTTTGATCACGTGGGTTAGCAAAATAAAGGTGGATCATTGTATTTAATTCTGGGTTTTTTTAATTGTAGAAATTTTAGGCCAAAATATACTTGACATACCTGTAGTCCAGGAAATAATGTAATTTATTTGGTGGCGAATAAACAGTTCTATATGGCAAGGGCTAACACCATTCTTCCCTGACAACTTTATTAAACAGAAAAACAAAACAACTAAGGATATTTCCTGACAAACTTACTTCTTCAACCCTAACTCTGTCCTAAGTAGCAGGAATGTAAAAGAAAAAAGGCCCGAAGAGAACAGTGTCGCTTGAAATGACAAACTTTAGAAAGCCAGGGAATTCTAAAGTGGGGTTACCTATAAAAGTCCTTCCAGGGCATGCTTTTCTCCTCTCACCACACTGCATTTAATCCCCCCAACCGCTACAGTTCAGAGCCAGAGTACAGCAGCTTTATCACATGGGTTGCCCAGAAAGAGTGAACTGGGGATAAGGCCTCAGCTGTACTCCAGGGGACCCAGAGGACTGGGTAGCGTTTGATACCCGTTTTGAAATGTTTGAGCTTGTTTTACTTGAGGCTCAGGAGGAGGCAATGGTAATGGCAGGGTGTGATGGGGTGTTCATCCCACACGAGCCTAGGAGGGGCAGATCAACCAACTAGGCCATAGCTGAGGGGAATTAGGTGGGCCCAAGTAATCCCCTGAAAGATGACCGAGCCCAGCTGCGAAGGAACAGGCGGGGGCTAGGATAATGCCAGGAAGCTGGCAGTGGAAAGGGGCTGCAGCGAGGGAACCTGCAGTCACCCTCTGGCTGTTAGGGTTTTGAAACCTAGGGAAAGGATGTAGGAAAAGACTCAGGGAAACAGCAGGAAAGGTTCAGATAGAGCAGGCCTTGGCTGCTGATTAGATAGTCCCTGGTCTGGAAGTAGGAGTAGAGGGTGGGCCTACGTTCCCCTACCAGCCACCGGGGCAGTGCCACCAGCTGGGCAGGGAATAAGAAGATTGCTGGAGACCGTTTCTGTGGAAAGACTTTGATACCCCAGAAGGGGGAAACCATTGTGACCTGGCGGGAGGGCCAAGCCAAGAAGGGAGAGCACTTGGAGTCTCAAGGAGAGCGGCACGCAACAAGTGGCAGAAGGGGGCATTGGACCTGCAAAGAGCTGATCCCCAGAGCAACCAGGAGGAGGTGCCCTAGCAGTGAGTAGGACCCCACGACACAGGGGTTGAAATCAGAATGCTGCCTTGTCCCAGCTGTGCTCAGAGCTCTTTGGAGGGGCATCACCTAGGAGTCATGGACCAGAACCCCCCTGCGCCGAACAAAAAGAACTTAGAAGCTAGGTATATGCAGCTGTGGGGAAGGGATTCCTGGGAGCCCTTGGCCATCTTGTTCTAGTCTCTCCCTGCTTTTCGCAACAGGGGGGTGATTTTCCCTCTTCCCCTGGGAGTGACCCCTCCTCACTGCACTCTCCAATGGGAGGAGGAAGCCTTCATTAGCGGTGAGTGTCAAACTTCATCCTCCCCATTCAGGGACTGTTTTCCCCTCGCTCTCTAGCAGGGGGTGCTGCATTCCCCGTCCACCCAGGCTTGCGGACTGTCTTCTATGCCATGTGATGTACTCATCTCTTAGCGAGAACCCTGTGAAGCTCCTTTGAGAAGGCCCGCAGGTGCCACAAACTCATCAAGTCTCCCCTTTTCTGTTGAAATGCTTAAGGTCCATGCAGACAGTCTCTAGAATCAATTTAACTGGCAGAATGGGGATATATTTACCATGGTCTCCTCCCACCTTAGGAAATTAATTACAATATATTGCACCGCCCTTTGCAGCTGCTGCTGTTCGTGGGGTTTTTTTTTTTTTTTACATTTGACTGGGGTTTGTATGTACCTGGTAATGAGTTTAATGTATTTCCTCTGGAAATAGGAAGCACATCCGAACGTTATACTATGACTTAAAAAACAAACCAAAAAACCCCTCAAGATGAGCATTCCGCTCTTCAAAACGGATGGAGATGAGCAACTACATCATTAGTCCATGTCACAGGTCAATTGTCAGGTAACTTTCTCTAGGCTTAGAGTAATTGCTTAAATGTGCACTATAACCTCAATGTCTTGCTAGACGCCTTTGAAAATGCCAGTCCTTAAACTCTACTGGTCGAGCTAAGGCAGTACAGCTCGCTGTGTGGATGTTGTTATTGGTATAAAACTTTGCTATAGCTATTCTTGCATGGGAAGAGGAATAAGTTATATCGGTAGATGGCATCTTTATATTGGTATAACCACATCCATGCTAGGGTTGTACTGGTATAAGTATTTTACTAATGGAAAAAAGTGACCAATATAGTTGTGGTGTTTAAAAAATAAAATAAAATTAAAAAAATCCTGTGTAGACCAGGCCTAAGTGGCTAGAGCTTGAAAAGTCCTGAATAACCTT